TGTTGGGGAACAATGTTTTTCTTCTTGAAATGGATTGCATGATTCAGTTCATTCAGGAGGCGCTACAGGGGCTTTTTTTTAAAAGAAAGGAAACAGATTTAAGTGGACTTCAGGTGATTCCCTCGATTCTTGGCACAGGGGAGATGAAGCCTGGGCCCTTAATCAAGGTCTTCAAGGATTTGAAATGCGGACGTAGCTGCCTGGAGAACAACACCAGGCAGCAAGCAGTCGTTGCTAGCTACTGTGCAGTGTATTTTTTTAAGAGGAGGGAAGTTTCTGGTTTGGGAATGATTTAGGGTAAAGTATGTCTTTGTCCTGCTGGTTTGTAACCTCCCTATGGATTTTTGCCTTGGTCCCAGGGTCGGTTTTAGTGTCTGAACGTGGGTGGGATAGCGTTTCTTCTTGGAATAATGAGAGGGCTTGTTTCCAGAAGTTTATTCGAAAGCTCTAGGAAGACTGTAGTTTTCAGTCTTGCAAGTCCTGGCTGAGGGATTATCCGTTTACTGCACTAAATGCTTTTGATTCAGAAGTGATCATTTTTAGGTCACATGGTGGGTTTTTTGCTGCTGCTGTTGTTGTTTTGAGACAGTCTTGCTCTGTTGCCCAGGCTGCAGTGCAGTGGGTGCTGTTTGGCTCACGCAACCCTCCGCCTCCTGAGTTCAAGTGATTCTCCTGTCTCAGCCTCCCAAGTAGCTGGATTACAGGCGTGCCCCACCCCGCTGGCTAATTTTTGTATTTTTAGTAGAGAACGGGGAATTCACATAATGGCCAGGCTGGTCTTGAACTCCTGACCACCAGTGAACCACCTGCCTCGGCCTCCCAAAGTGCTGGGATTATAGGCATGAGCCACTGCACCTGGCCTGATCACATGTTTAATATCAACTTGTCTTATGTGAGTAATGAGGACAAAATTACTACTCAGTTTGGCACAAAGAGTTTTTAAAAATATGACCTTTAAACCCTAATGAAAAACAGGTTTGGGCTGGGCACGGTGGCTCACGCCTGTAATCCCAGCACTTTGGGAGGCCGAGACAGGCAGATCACAAGGTCAGGAGTTCAAGTCCAGCCTGAACAACGTGGTGAAACCCCGCCTTTACTAAAAATACAAAAATTAGCTGGGCAAGGTGGCAAAAATTAGCCAGGCGTGGTGGCGGGCGCCTGTAGTCCCAGCTACTTGGGAGGCTGAGGCAGGAGAATTGCTTGAACCTGGGAGGCAGAGGTTGCCGTGAGCCGAGATTGCACTACTGCACTCCAGCCTGGTGACAGAGGGAGACTCTGTCTCAAAAAAAAAAAAAAGAAAAAAAAAAAACAGGTTTGATCTAGTGCTTCATTTAAAATAATACGTTGAACAGAGCATTGGTTTTGCTAACTATGGAGGTTAAAATAAAACTCGTATTAAATGACATTTTAAAATATATACCATCAAAAATATGTACTTAGGCTAATAAATCTTTTATATTTTACATGAAGATTGTATGTCTACCATAAATCTCTACTCTGAAATGTTCTGCCTGCAAACATTTTTACAACACTTATTTATAAGATTAGTTTACTAACTTCATTACATGGAGGAGGGTACTTTAAATAATAATATCTATCAGAAATGATAATTAATTTGACTCTTATCTGCTCTTGCAGTATGTGACTACTATGAGCACTTTTATTACCTTTTGAAGATAATATAATTGTTTCTTATTTGGCAAGTGCATGAAAGCAGAATTAGAAACCAAAATGAACACCATGGATAAAACACATTGGCATATTAAAACAGACATTGTTAACAAATTACCTGCTGGCTTTAAAGAAAAATATAGGTTCAGTCAGTTAATGTTTTATTAAATCATTCTCATTCAACAAGTTTTGATTGAAATTTTACTCATTATGAAAAATATATTTGGCATGTCATAACAAAGAAAAATATTCTTATTTACTAAACTATTTTCTTCTGTGTAATGCTGCTAACTAAACATAAATAATTGCTTAATATTTTCTTTTAAATTGATAGTATGGATTTAAGCAGGAACCTCTATGGCAGTGGGAAATGCTTAAACTTAAATTTTGGCTTTTTTAACCAAAAAAAAAAAAGCCAAAAATGATGGTTGGTGATCATTAGCAGAGCTTCCCTAGGTCCTGCAGAGTATCTAAGGTCCGGGTTTAGAGCTCAGCCTAAAGCAGCTGCAGACATTGTTGGCTCAAATTGAGCAACTCAGGGTCCTGTGAAGAATCATGCTTTAAGCCTTCCCCCTGGTCTTTCGAGGGATTCATCCATTTAAAGGGTTTCCCTCCTAAAGGGAAGAAAGTAAGGAAGGGACAGGCAAGGGGCTCTGGATTATGGAAGACAGGATGATTGGACTTGAATTGTACACTCACATGCCTGTTCTTTTGAGCCACCAAAACCGCTATTCCGAAACGTGCTAATACCATGAGCCCTTCCATCACTCAACAGAGGCAGAATAATCAGTCTTTAAATGCAAAGAAATGTATTCATAAATTAGCTTCGGTATCATCTCTCTAGAACCTACTGTGAAAACCTAGGCGGACACTCAGTCAAATCCTAGGCCTGGTAAAAGTGGAGGATTTTTCTCCAGGAGAGGAACCTGAAGGAAAAAATGTTCAGGTAACATAGGCTGTCATAGACAAGGTAATGGACTTGTTTAATATAAGCAAAGAGCTGCGTCTTACAGCTCTAAATGGGCTGAAAGCCCATTTCTTAACCCATTCCCCTCTTAGCCCCCTTATCTCCTCAAACACATGTCCTCAAAGAGTCTCTGGGTTTTGGCTGCTGAACGGAATCATGCCCTCAGTTTAAGGCCTTGTCGGGAAAAGGAGGAGCATCAAAGAGAGAGAGGAAGGAGTTGCAGCCATACCTCTCCTGGCCACATTGTTTCGGAATACCTCATTTAAACAACGAAAGGAGGAGAAATTACCTAGTTAGTTGGAATCTTAGAGTTGATAATTACAGAGAGTAAGTCAAGTTTTTATCTTTTAATCTGAAATAACCAGAATGATGGTTATTCCCCTCACAAGAAATTCTCACTCTTGTGTAGATGGAGGTTCAGGTTTTGGTCTTCAGTTGGGTACTTTTAAGACAGGCCTTACATATGACTCTTGGAATTTTTCAGTTCCATCTGGTAATTTGGAAGCATCATGTGACCAGTGACTTTTCAGTACTTTTGGAAGGATATTGGCCACTTTATCAGCTTTGTACACAGACAAAGTGCCCATTTTACCATCATTTCCATTTTTGCATTTTGCTGAGGACTTATGTTTTTGGTGGCACTCTGTCTGCCTTCTACATCCATTTCTTCCTCACCAGCCTTAAAACGGAGACTGTAGGGAAAGGGATGAGAGCCTCCCTGGGTATCATTTTTCTTTATGGCTGGTGAAAAAAGAAGTCTACCTCCTTCATCTCTCTTCTCGGGCTTTTGGGAAGTGAGGAGGAACAGTCCTGCCCCAAAGCCAGGTGAGATTTGAGGCCAGTGGTTCCCTTGAGCATTTCTCCAGTACCTGTGGAAGAGTCTCACCTTCTGTTGTTTCCACATCTGTGCATCCGCTTGTTCTGCCCCCATCCTTGAAAGCAGCTGATGGGGCTCCTATATCCTTATGGCCTAGCTTATTAGAACCTTCCAGAGGAAAACTTTTTTTTTTTTCTTAAGATGGAGATTTGCTCTGTGGCCCAGGCTGGAGTGCAGTGACGCGATCTCGGCTCACTGCAACCTCTGCCTCCCAGGTCCAAGTGATTCTCCTGCCTCAGCCTCCCAAGTAGCTGGAACTACAGGTGCCCGCCACCCCACCCAGCTGCCAGAAGAAAACTTTCACACAGCCTACCTAAGCTTATGTTCAAGAGTCTCTCTTAAAATCTAGGAAGAGACCGATATTCCAAGAGTGATTTAATTGTGGGCTCTTCCTGAAGTAGATGAATAGGAACAGCTATTTAAATTGATGTAATTTTATTGCGACCTCCTTCACAATGGTTTTCAGGTTACCCTGCTCTTGTAGTTGATAAGGAGGTTCTGTGACCCAGGTAACCGTGATGCACAGATGAGATAATGTGGGGATTCATTGATGCAAAATCAGAGGCAATCCCTTCATAAATAGAGGTGCCTCTGGCCCCGATCGTTTAGATCTCCTTTGACCAAAAAAAAAAAAAAAAAAAAAAGATGTCCCATTCTGACATTGGAGAGGTTTATTTTTATTTATTTATTTTTTTGAGATGGAGTTTTGCTCTTGTTGCCCAGCTGGAGTGCAATGGCACGATCTTGGCTCACTGCACCCTCCACCTCCCAGGTTCAAGCGATTCTCCTGCCTCAGCCTCCCAAGTAGCTGGGACTACAGGCATGTGCCACCACGCCTGGCTAATTTTTGTATTTTTAGTAGGGACAGGGTTTCACCATGTTGGTTGGGCTGGTCTTGAACTCCTGACCTCAGGTGATTCACCCGCCTCGACCTCCCAAAATACTAAGATTACACGCGTGAACCACTGTGCCCAGCGAGAGATTCTTAATCCTGGAAAACTGTTTTGCCAATGGAGAAAATATCCTAATTTATTCTTTAGTGCAAATTAGAAAATACTTAATAATTTGGCTTTGAAGCACAAACTCTAATCATGCTGTTGGTATTTTCCAGTATTACACAATTGATAGTTAATTTCTACAGCTCTCTTGATGTAGACCTTCAAATAATTATATCCTTATATTTTGTGTTAAGCTAATATTACCAGGAAAGCAGTTTTAAACATCAGGCCTGTCTTTTTCGTTTTCTTCTAAGATAGCACATTGCAACAGTTTTGTTAGTGTTCAGTGGTCAGGAAGGTATTTTCGAGCATGCTTTGTACAGTGGAAAATTAATAGACTTTTTTTTGTAAACAGGCATTTGTAATGCTGTAATTAATGATTATCATGGATTTTATTTTTTGGTATCTTAATTCTATTGTTGATGTTAGCATTGGAATAAAATGAAAAGAGTCTGTGGTAATGACCTTGACTGTTTTGAGCACTTAGGAACCTGTTTTGTTCACTGGAACAATGAGGAAAAACCTGGATCCCTTCAATGAGCACACGGATGAGGAACTGTGGAATGCCTTACAAGAGGTAATTGATAAAATGTAATTATCTCTAATTTTTTAACATCAGTATGTGTATATGTACCTTTACAGCATTGCGGGAAATTAAGGGGAGCTTAATGGTTTAACTAACTTTGTTCACCACCCAGGAGATCATTGAGGATGTGGATATGCTAAAATGTGTATACTGATGATGATGAAAACCAAAAATAAAATTTCACTTGTTCTCATTTTAATTTTCTTCCTATAGTCCAAAACAGTTTGGTGTTGTTTTATTTGTCTTTAGCAATGAGTTAAACTAGAAGTTGTATTTATGAGTTGAGATCCTGTTAGTAACTAAGTTACTCTGCACTATTTATTTTAGTGCTGTATTCTTAGGGAATTTCTAGTAAGGGAAGACGTCTCATAGTTGTTTTTCATTAACTAAGAGATAAATAAGATCATATTTATGAAATGCTTTGAAGTTTTATAAGAAAGTGTTTATAAAGGTAAATTATACAGTTGGAATGGGATAATATTTATTGGCAAACATGTAATTTTAATGCAAGTAACAGAACCCTGCAACCTTTGCTAAGTTTTTATACTAATATGTTGATTTCTAGAGGATTTTCTGTTATTTATGTGGTTCCTGTTGGGCCACTTCTTGAAATTTTCTCACCCTTGCATGAAAAGGGCTTTGACTATTAAGGTGCTGTTGGTTTGTATATTTTAACACTGATTTTCTATGTTCAGCCTAGTTCTTTTTTTTTTTTTTTTTGAGACGGAGTCTTGCTGTGTCGCCCAGGCTGGAGTGCAGTGGCGCAATCTCGGCTCACTGCAATCTCTGCCTCCCGGGTTTACGCCATTCTCCCGCCACAGCCTCCGAGTAGCTGGGACTACAGGCGCCCGCCACCACGCCCGGCTAGTTTTTTGTATTTTTAGTAGAGACGGGGTTTCACTGTGTTAGCCAGGATGGTCTTGATCTCCTGACCTCGTGATCTACCCGCCTCGGCCTCCCAAAGTGCTGGGATTACAGGCTTGAGCCACCGTGCCCAGCTGTTCAGCCTAGCTCTGCAAATTTGTGCCAGTCTACTTGATGGCAGAAACCATATCATAAAACTGGTAATCCCTCACAGGACCTAGTTCAGTTTTTTGCTTTTAAAAAGTAAACATTTAAGGTTGGGCGCAGTGGTTTACCCCTGTAATCCCAGCACTTTGGAAGTCTGAAGTGGGTGGATCACCGGAGGTCAGAAGTTTCAGACCAGCCTGACCAACATGGTGAAACCCCACTTCTACTAAAAATACAGAAATTAGCTGACCATGGTGGCGTGCGCCTGTACTCCCAGCTACTCAGGAGGCTGAGACAAGAGAATTGCTTGAACCCAGGAGGCCAAGCTTTCAGTGAGCCGAGATTGTGCCACTGCACTCCAGTCTGGGCGACAGAGCAAGACTCTGTCTCAAAATAAATAAATAAATAAATAAAAATAAATAAAAATTGGCCAGGCACGGTGGTTCATGCTTGTAATCCCAGCAATTTGGGAGGTTGAGATGGGTGGATCATGAGGTCAGGAGTTCCAGACCAGCCTGGCCAACATGGTGAAACCCTGTCTCTACTAAAAATACAAAAATTAACCAGATGTGGTGGCGCATACCTGTAGTCCCAGCTACTCGGGAGGCTCAGGCAGGAGAATTGCTTGAACCTGGGAGGCGGAGGTTGTGGTAAACTGACATTGCGCCACTGCACTCCAGCCTGGGCAATAAGGGTGAAACTCCATCTCAAAATAAATAAATATTAAAAGTTTTTTTAAAAAGTAAGCATTTAATAGGTATGTATTAACATGTTTGATCTCTTCATTTCAAAGAAGTGTGGAGCCTGGACAACATAGTGGACTTTGTCTCTACTAAAAATAAAAAAAAAAAAGAATTAGCCAGATGTGGTGGCATGTACCTGTAGTCCCAGCTACTCAGGGAGTTGAGGTGGGAGGATCTTGTGAGCCCTGGAGGTTGAGGCTTCAGTGAGCCATGATTGCACCACTGCACTCCAGCCTGAGTGACAGAGATTAATTTCTCTCCATTGTTATTGTTGTTGTTTTGAGTTGGTGCATTTGTCATTGTTGCCCTTCCAGGGATAGCTCTGAAATCTTTAATTTATAGATGGGTTTTGACTGTGAGCAAGTAGACTTGGAGGCCTGACAGTTTCCTGCCAGTAATTCTTGTTTCTGAAGGCATGTCATTGCCGAGTCCTTACACATCCACCCTGCTTTCCAGCAACTGTGGGGATTTTCTTTTTCTAAATTAGGTTGGTTACTTCACCTCCTGATACTCGATAAGCAATTGACCTCTGATTTCATTTAAATTTGTGAATCTCTGTACAGTGAAATTCTAGGAGAGAAAAGGTGGGTACAGTTAACTGTCCAACGTAAAGAAAGATAAGGCAATCTCCTGCCCCTAAATTCTCAGGACAAGTTTATTAGTGAAATTGTGACATACCCTAAAAGAGCAAGAATTACTCATAAAGTATTTTTCTATTTGTTTCAGAGCTTGAGATTTCTTGTCACAGATTCTCAGAGAGTAAAATTACTTTTTAGAAACACATTTCTCTATGAACAGTGAAGAAATGTTAATTGGGAGATGATCCTATCAAAAACCATCGTGGAACATGGCTGTAACTCATACTTATTACATTTGTTATAGCCAAAATTAAAATAAAATTTAGTAGTCTCTCAAGAATTCTAGAAATGATGAGGTGGAAGACGTGGTAGGTTCCCCTCAGAAGTGAAAAATTATCCCATCGTTGTCTTTTCTCTGGGAATTACTTCTTTATGGCATTGTAGGTTTCTCTAGGAGTGATTTGGAAGAGTTTCTAAAAATTAGGGTACCACATTGTATTTCCGGTGTGATTCCAGCTGTTTTTCATCATTCATATATTCCGAAACCTGACCTAAGAAAGACACCAGAGCATTTACGCTGCTTGCTTGGGGGTAATGAGACAAAGACTGGAGGAGAGTGTTTTCTTTTCTCTTTGGTTTTTCTGAATTTTCCAAATTTCCTCTGGGTGCTTGTGTTCTTTTTACCTTCTGGATGGTTGGGGGAAAGGCTGAGCACTCCTCATAGATGAAGCATTGTGAGTTTTTCACAGCAAGTTTCTTGACTACCAGTTGATGGAGGCTGGGGTCATTCTGATAGGTCAGGGATCTTCCCCGGGGTCCATGGAGTCTGAGGGTCTTCTCGTAGAGAATTCTGAAGCTCACTTCCTGGTGATTGTAAACATGAAGTTTTGTGCGTGTGTTTATCTTGAGAGATGTCACACAAGGGATTCAGCACCACGACTCTGATGCCATTCAAGTTTCTCTGGATTTCTCTGTCACATTCTATCTCTCTGCTGTCTCCATGGTTTTCATCTTTCATTGATATCCAGTTCAGAACTGGATAACTCATCCTGCTCTTTAGTAGGAAACCTGGTATCATTTGGAAACTCCCTTTAAAGCAGACAAAAAACACAGTCACTTGGTTTATAAATGAGGCCAAACTGGAAATGGGAACCCAAACTCATAGGGTTGGCTCGAGATTAGGACAGCACTGTCAGTTTTTTCCTCTCTAACAACTTTACATAAAAAGGAAAGATGCCTTTTATTTCTTTGAAGTTTTTTTATTTCTTCCCCATTCTCCCTTGGCAAGGGTAATACCAGACATGCAAAAGAAGGTCTGGCATCCGGAGGGAGACAGTCCTATGAATGTGGTTGTGTCATCTTGGCTGTATGTATATATGTATGTATGTATGTATGTATGTGTTTATTTATTTATTTATTTGAGACAGAGTCTTGCTCTGTCACCCAGGCTGGAATGCAATGGCGCAGTCTCGGCTTACTGCAAACTCCGCCTCCCAGGTCCAAGCGATCCTCCTGCCTCAGCCTCCCGAGTAGCTGGGATTACAGGCGCCCACCACCATGCCGGCTAATTTTTTTGTATTTTTAGTAGAGACGGGGTTTCACCATGTTGGCCAAGCTGGTCTCAAACTCCTGACCTTGTGATCCACCTGCTTCAGCCTCCCAAAGTGCTAGGATTACAGGCGTGAGCCACCGCACCCGGCCTATTTTTATTTGTTTTTTTAGACAGAGTCTTGCTCTATGGCTCAGGCTGGAGTGCAGTGATGTGATCTCAGCTCACTGCAAACTCTGCCTCCTGGGATCAAGTGATTCTCCTGCCTCAGCCTCCCAAGTAGCTAGGATTACGGGCACGCTACACGATGCCTGGCTAATTTTTGTATTTTTAGTAGAGACAGGGTTTCGCCATGTTGGCCAGGCTGGTCTCAAACTCCTGACCTCAAGTGATCTGCCTGTGTCGGCTTCCCAAAGTGTTGGGATTACAGACATGAGCCACCACACCCAGCCAGTTTTTTGTTGTTGTTGTTCTTTTTTTCTAATGCTGCAAGTTATCGTAAATACTGAAAAATAGTCAGCTGTAAATGGAAGAAAGTTTACTAGAATTAGTGCCAGTTTTGGCCCCTAAATAACAGCAACTCTATAAATATAGCATAAGTAATGACTAAAGATGGAAGTCGTTTATGAGCAAAAAGTCAAAAGATCACAGTGGTACAACTAAGAAAATGAATCAGCAGTATGTTATTTCTGTTAATTAAAAAACGACTTTAATACCGGGATCTACAATTAAGACTAGGTTATATCATGTTGGAATAGTGGAGAAATCATCTAATCATGTTCAACATTGATAGAATCACTGTTAGAATACAAGGATGTCTTGTATTCGGGACCCCATAAGGCAGAAATCTGCACACGAGCAGTATCCACGTCCTCTGGGCCTTCGTTTCCCCAGACCTTGCACCTCCATTTTTCCCCGGCCATATATTGCCCAGAATGAGCTTCCGCTCACTTCGTTCACACTTAGCTGTGTTCTCGTTAAAGCTTGTTCCCATCTGTTGAGTTGCTGTTTATCACATTTCAGCCTCTGGCATCAGAGACTTCCTTTATGAAAAGTCAGAAAGTTCAAAAACACCTGGAAACAGAATCTGACATCCACGTGAATCTCGAGGCTTTGAAAATATTTGTGATGATAGAAATGGGCTGTCTTAGAAAGTTCAGTTCATTATTTGCACTTTTCCTATACTTTCCTGTTTTTTCCAAGCTTCAAAATAATCTGATAGACTGTGTTTGAGATGTATAGTTTCAAATATTATGATTTGATCTTGTTTTCCTGAAATTACAACCTTTATTAAATGTAGAAAACATTAAATTTTCTATATTTTAAACTATAATATTATGATATCGTGGAGCCAATTAACTTTATAAGGACTATGTTTCTTTTACAATAACATTTAGTAAGAAAATTGTATGCAAATTCTATTTCTGTGTGGATTTATTTTGTAATTTATAAGAATAGACATCTCACAGAATGAGGTGTCCTTGTGGCTTCATACATTCAACAGGTATGTGTGGGGAGGTTTTTACATTTACAACAGGTATGTGTGGGGAGGTTTTTCCACAGGCATTGTAGACTCTGGAGCGATAGCAGTCATCAAGAGAGATAAAGTCCCCATCCTCTTAGAGCACACATTCTTGTATGGAAGAGAGAAAATAAGAAAATACTTATGTAAGAGGTGGCATACAGGCGAAGGGCTGAACAAAGGAGGAGATTGTTTGTTTTTGCCCCTTCCTGACCAAAAATACTGCCCTTTTTTTTGTTTTTGGAGTGGAGTCTTGCCGTCGCCAGGGAGGCAGGTGCGATCCTCAGCTACTGCAATCTCTGCCCCCCGGCGTTCAAGCATTCCGTCGCTCAGCCCTCCTAGACGCTGGACATAGGTGGCACGCACCAACAACCACAATTTTTTGGTATTAAGAGATCTGTTTCACACGTTTTGGCCAGGCTGGTCTGGAACTCCTGAACTCTCGTGATCACCTTCCGCCCTCGGCGCTCCCAAAGGTGCTGAATACGAGGCTGAAGCACACAGCCTCCGGCGCCTATTTGTTACATAATGCCAGTCAACTAATTCCTTCTCACGCACTGCCTATCCAGTACCGAAATTATAT